AGCTAAAGCAGCCCACAGCCATTTTGAAACATGCTGGGGCTTAAAACATGTGACAGTGACGTGTTTTAATTAGAGTGGCTGTCCAGGAACCTCTCTAATTAAAACACCCCCCTTCCTGCCGCAGAACAGGTGTATAGACATGTTTAGCTGTTGGACAAAAAATTCAAAGCGTCTAAATCACTTAGGAGTACAAAAAAACCTATTTTCAAGAGTGGATTGGGCAGTTAAGAGCCAAATCCCATTAAGACTTTCATCTATAGAGAGTCTAAGTCATATTTGAAAGCAGGACTTTTGAAACTCCTTCCTTATTGAGCCTTTTATAGTTCTGGTTGCTAACCTATGTTCTGGATACTGAATGCTCTTTCTTCACTTCCTCATTGCCGTGATGCCTCTGTTTGTCTCCTCTCTGCAGGCAAGGCAGTCATGTGGAAAAAAGTATATGCCTTCATGTTCAAACGTCGGAAGTTGCACACAGCTGAGGAGAGAGCATCCATTTAGGAGCTTTACGGACTCTGGCACACTGTTAAAGAAGAGTATTTAAATAATGTGCACTGTACCATCTTGCCTGTACCATCTTCTTTTTTTGGCTTTCAAATCCTTCATTCCATGTGTCTAAGGTGTTTTTTTCCCCTTGCTTTGTTGCCCAGGAAGTTCAGCAAGCTATCACTACCTCCTTTCCTCTCAGCATATTTTAATTTATATTTTAGGACAGTGGCTTTGAAACGTTTTATACAAGCTTTGCAGATGTACACACTCGTCTGTCTTTGAGTCCTTGTATGACTTTCATCCTGGTAGATTCCATGCACCTCTTGTCCCAGATGTTTGTCTCAGACCCCTTGCCTATAAGTCACCCTCACCTGGCCCATGTACTTCACTTTCATATAAAATTGTGTTAGCAACATCAGTACCTCTTCACACGGAAGAATAGAAATTAAGGTATTGTAGGTAAAATTCAGTCCTCATTGAAATTACTGGGACTACTGCAACTGACTTTCACAGGACCAGGATTACATGTATGCCTTTTTTCATGTATATTTAATGCTGTTTATCAAATGGAAGTCTAGAGGCACCCACCTGTATGCGATCAACTTCCTCTCAATGAGCAAGTACTCTGCAGGCCAGCCATAGTTTTTACACCAATTTTAGAGAACCATTGTTTTAAGAAATAACTGGTTAATCATTAATAACACTTCAATGATAACTCATCAGCTGAGAATCCAAAAGTTGCATATGAAGGACTTGAATTGCAGTAACATATAGCACCTTTTTTGTGCAGGGGTTGGCAAACTTTGGCCCACAGGATCTGGCCCATGGACATGGGGCTATAGCAGCATTTGGTGGGGCGGGGCTTTGACTGTGGGTGCTCTGCCTGTGCGGCCATGGGAATGAGGTGGGAAAGTATACCCTAACCCTAACCCATGCCTGCCCAGCTCTGACCCAGAGTGGGTCATTCTGGCTTGCAACAGGAAAGGGTTGCCTATCTTTGATCTTGTGGGATCACTAATCTAAGTTGATGCCTAAGGATGACTAATTTGTGCTAGTTCTCTCAACTTTGAATTAAAATTGTTTGACCTGTTTGGAAAAAAAAAGATAAATGTGCAGACTTCTTTCTACAAGTATTTGGGTTCTGTCTACTCACTCATTTCAAATTTCTCCTCAATTTTAAACTCAGTATTGAAGAAACAGAAGAATTCCTGATTTGATCTAACTGTTCCCCCGAAGAGTTTGTGGGTTTTTTGTAAGAAGTCAAACTTTCCTAGGAAAAATGCAATAAAGACCTGTCTGATCTCCAACTGAGAATTTTCAGCTTTTATTTGTGGCATTTAACACATTTTCTACTGTGCACTTACACAGGTACTTCTGAAAAATTGTCATTTTTCTATTTGGTGGGATTTATTTTGTGTCAAATTTTATCCATGTAGCAATGATGCATCATAGGTTGGAGACGAGGAGTTTTGTAGATGATCTCTTTTATTGGGTTAACTGCACAATGGGGATAGACTTAGACAAGTTTTCAAATGGAGCACATTCACAGGTTTTTATTTAAGGCCACAAGGAACAATTACAATTACCCAGTCTGATTTCCTGTATCATATTTGTACTTAGACATTTTTTTCTGCAACAATTCAAAGAAGCACCACAAAATAACATCATTTGACCATCACTATCTTCTAAAGAAAGGATATAACGTTAAGAACTTGAGCCATACAATTAGATCTGAGGCACACTGCTTTAAGAAACAATGCATCACCCTGGGATGATGTTGACTCGTGCACAAATGCTGACTTTACACAACATTTTGATCTCATGACAACATTTCCTACCTCTTTGGTGAGCACTGCAGATGTGGTATAGAATCCATTAAACTCCATTAGTAAGAACCAACAAATTCAGAAACCCAGCCGGCAGCCAATACAAGTGTACTCGGATGGGGTGACCTATAGCAGTAGCTTACAGGGAGCAATCATCTTTGCTCTTCTGTGTTAGGGATGTAAATACAAAGATCTCAGGTTTCTTGTTTTACATTTAGACTACTTCAACAATGGAAAGGCATCTTAAAAGGGAATAACTGTAACTGATACCAGAGCAGTCTGGAGGCGTCTGGCTTTCAATGACAATTAAGTCCTCAATATTTGCCCTTGAGTTTAAAAAGAATCAAATGAGCCTTTCATTCAGCTCAAAGAAGCAGGGATTGAAGCTAGCAGTGCTTTTAGAAAAATGAATTCAGGGATGTGGGTGAAGAGCAATTCCAAATCTAATTGCAGGTAGATTGCAAGTGTTTGAAAGAGATAGTAAAGTATGACACCTGAAACTTAAATCCCCATCAGAACTGTAAGTGATGCCAAGACCCCACTCAGAATGGTAACGATTAATAATGTTGACTTGAATATAGTATTGATTCACTCAGCCTTAAATCTCAGCTAGGCTGGCAGACTCAGAAACAGCTGTTCTCATTGCAGAGGAATATAGGAATGAGAAGTGTCCCCAGCGGTCTAAGAATGACTGATGGAGTTCCAAAGCATGGACGCTGTGTAACGTGAGCCTTGAACAGTACTGTAGGTCACCAGTGACAGCTGAAAGGAGGAAAGCAACAAGCTAGTTGTGATTTGATAGCAGTGTGCATGTCATAATGAAGTCACTCTGAGCCTGTTGACATAGTCTACCATAGTTCCTGTTCAGCACGATGACTTGATGGAGTGGATCACCTGTTAATTGCCAGCTTGGAAGTATCAGATGGAGAGCTACAATCATGACTGAGGGTCCTGACTGAAGGCAGCTTTTGCCCAACCTAGCAGTTCATCCTGAAAAGCAAGACTAAAATATCTGATATTCTACACAACTCCAGTCCAGCCTAGATTTCCCATCACAGCTTGCATCCCTCCTGCCCTTTTCAATCTGCTGAGAATGAAAGTAGTAAAGCCCTTTTCACTTCCATCTCCCTCTTTCTAACATGGTCTTTCCCATTCTGGTCTGCTCAGCAGCCCTCTTTCCCAGTTCAGAAGATTCTTATGTTCACAGGTAGTGGACCAGGGCCATGTCCAACGTGTCCCATCGCTGTTCCTGTCTCTTGGATTCCAAGCACGTTGGGGCGCTTGTACAGGTTGACGCACACTATTGGCACTTAATAATGTATAATAATCATAATACCCCTGGGTAGAGGAGCTTGCAGCTGAGCTTGAAGACTCCTGCTAAATTCCTCACATGCTGTATAGTATTTGACCCTTAGCACTATTGGCAGTGGCAGCACAATGACCTTGATTGAGCTGCAGTTAATTTTGAGTTTTGCTGTATGCCCACCAATAGGAGCTCACACGACTAACCCAAATATGTTTTGTTCCAGATGCTTTCCAGTTTACTGAATTATAGAAGGGAGCATGTGTTGAAAAAAGCTATGTGCTAAAAAACAAAATGGAAAATTGCACAATGAAAACAGCTGAGCCTGGAGAGGAATAAATTAAAAAGTGCTGAAGGCTAAATGTAAAAATCCCTGACCATATATATCCATCTATGTAAACCCAGACATATCTTAGCAAGAGCTGCGCAGAGCAGGTTCAGTATGCCTCTAACTTCTGCTGTCATGGATCAGTTTTGGTATTTAGTTCTAATGACTGTTTTATAACGGAAAAGGCAATTCCATTTCCTGTAATTCTGTGCTGGGCACCCAACCAAATACATACAACTCTTCATGGAATCTGGTAAGTCAATCTCTTTAAAACACACAAAACTTCACCTAATTGCACCTGGCTTTTGTTATCTTTAGTTGTGCTCTCCTGGTATACAGTAAATGGTGACTGCTCTAGGTTTTACTGTAGCAAAATTACACATTTGTACGAATTACCTGGTTTCCTGTGGCTTTTTGGAGTGCCATGTAAGCTATTTAATGTACTTTTATTGATAAACCATACATTATACCCCTCTGTAGTTACCACGGGAATGAGGATCTTGTTGTAGATATGCTGATTGCATTAGAGCATAGCCATGCCAATGATGAAAAGAACTCTGTGCATCTTTATGGTGTGTTAAAACATTGATTGGCTTAAGTGAGCAGGACTGTCTTGTAATTGTTGCTGCGTTCAGGTGGCCAGTAGTAAATGGACATCAGTGTCCCTTCAAACAAGTTTCTTGATCGAACTTAATTTACTCAAGAAATACCACAACATAAAGACAGCACGTGAAAGAGGCAGACCTCCTCAGTCTGCGTGTGACAGTTTGCACAAGAGTTAGGAAGAAACTTCTTTTGTGAGTTATATTCTATAACTGCCAGCTTCAAAAATTCTTTGCATGGCCAGCATCTGGTATTGGCAACTGTTGGGTATAGGATACTGGACTGGATGCACCTTGGCTCTAACTCCATAATCAAGAGTATATATATAGTTTTAAAAAAAGTTATCGCCCACCCACCTTGTGCATGAACATTTTTCAGGGATTTATGCAGGGTGGAATAGAATCACGCTTACGTGCTTAAGTCCACTTGGGTACCTAACAGGAGGAAAAGAATCTGACCTGAAGAATGTAATAATCCTCTGTAGATCTCTCACTTCCAGTGTGTTTTGTATTTTGAAAGGAGTGTGTACTAAAAGCGGGAAAAGAGGCCTGGGATGTGAGATGGGGGAGAAAGGTCATCATCAGCCTTAATCACATCTGTGATGCAAATATGGTTTTGGTTAATACCTGATTTGTGGGTGGATTTGGGTGGAGAGGCTTTAAAAGTAGTCACAGAAGAAAACGAAAGTAAGTGTTGCCTCATTCAGTGCTACCTGCTATAACAAGCCCACTTCTTTAGTTGTAAATAGTAGATGCCGCCATGAAACATTTGGTTATTTGATGCAGCCAATTAAAGCTGCTTATTCTGCACTGATGCAGCTTTCCAGCTGATCTAGGAAAGCAACTACCAAATATGAGGATTTTTCCTTCAGTCTTTCCCCTCCCCATATCAGGATCCTGAAATATAATCCTTGCCAGCCTTGGGATTTTGGTAAACTTGAGTCCAAGCTGGGAAGGTAGGTAGAAAGGAGGACAGGGAGGTGGATGGGGAAAAGGCTGCTATATTTAACCTCTTCTCCCCAGGTAACTCTGGTGTAGATCTTTCTTCCAGTCTTCCCTAACAGAAGAGCCCTGGCCTCGGCAGTTCCTTTCCTGGGTGAGAGAGACACATAATGAGGCAGCAAAATTTAAAATTTCTCTGCTCATTTGGCTGTGGGGAAGGAAGAAGCATCTCACATCCCCCTCTGGGTCTTTTCTAGAAACAGGTAATGGGTAATTCTATACCTGTCTATAGTTTTCTCTTGCCTGATGCCAGCAAAAAATTTGAACACAGTTTACTATAGATGTGGGAGTTGGGATGCCCTGAGACTCAAGGGAGTGGGCAACTTCAGAACATCTCCAGATGTTCATACCAGAGTATAAGGTATGCAAAACATTCCCAACACTGAGTGTCATGTTGCTAGCTCCTATGCTACATGGGGTGGAAACCTTGGAATCCAAAGTAAGCTTAACTGTAACATCACGGCATCACCTAGCATGGCTTTTAGGGTATGTGATTTTGTTTTCTTTCTTTTTTCATTCCTTCACGCTGGCCCACAGCAATGGAGAACTCCTCAACTACAGACAACCAAATTATCACCCTGCAACCTGATGCCGGTAGCATTTGTTTAACATCTGATATAGATACAAATTTACTGCACACGGGATTGTTTGGCAAGAGTTACAGTCTTCAGGCCTTGAAGAAAGTATATTATTTCATGAGCACTAGTACTCAGTATGTTTGAGTCTCTATTCCAGTAGCAAAGAAAACAGCTTTCAAAGACTCTTCCTTATACATGTTCTAACTTCTTTCCTTTCCACAGAGGATGATTGAAATGGATAGGCTGGGCAGGAACCTCTCTTGTTGTAACATTTTTGGTGATCAGAAATTTATTTTAAGGGCTCTTAACAGTTTCTCTTGGTTTAGGTGAGGAACAATCCCCCATGTTGGTGTTACTGTT